GGAAAAAAGTACAATAAATGTTAAAACCAGTTCAGATAAGCCGACTGCCCCTCCTTGGGCATGCCTAGCATGGGTGGAGTTAGTGCAAACGGCACACTGGCAGACAGGAGCAACTCTCTTAAGTTTGGGCCCTCTTAGGAGCACTGTAAGACCGAGCTCCAGCAGGGACAGGCCTTGGAAGGTATTAAAAAAAAAAAAAAAAAAAAAAAGTAGGAAATTGATCTGTGTCCATGAAGTTCTATAATTCCCAATGAACCAAAGTTCTTAGCACATATGTCACTACTCAATCATTCTTATCACCTCTGTCTTGGGACCTGGGTCATCCAACCAAGAGCACAAGTTTTCATCAGAGCTGAATAATCAGTATAAAAAAAAAAAAAAAAAAAAAAATCCCATTTGGATTTCCTTGTGGCTTTGTTCAGTCTGACAGGAGCTCTGAAAGCCGGAGGCCTGCTTTCCCGTGGGGCAGTGAGGCTCAGCCCCTTATCACAGAATCGTAGAGTGGTTTAGGTTGAAAGCGACATTCAAGATCATCCAGTTCCAACCCCCTGCCTTGGGCAGGGTCACCTCCCACCAGACCAGGTTGCTCAAAGCCCCATCCAGCCTGGGCTTGAACCCCTCCAGAGATGGGAAATCCACAGCTTCCCTGGGCAACCTGTTCCAGTGCCTCACCACCCTTGTAGCAAAAAATGTCTTCCTGATATCTAATCTAAATCTACCCTCTTCCCGTTTGAAGCCATTATGCCTCATCCTATCACTATATGCCCTTGTAAAAAGCCCCTCTCCAGCATTCTTATAGGCTTCTTTCAGATGCTGGAAGGCCACTGTATGGTCTGCCCAGAACCTTCTCTTCTCCAGGCTGAACAACCCTAACTCGCCGCCTGTGCTCACAGTAGAGGTGCTCCAGCCCTCTGGTCATGTTTGTGGCCTCCTCTGGACTTGTTCCAACAAGTCCATTGCTGAGGACTCCAAAGCTGGATGCATTACTCCTGCAGATATGTGCTGAGAGGGTGGCCGTGCTGCTGGGCTCAAAACAGCTCTTCATCTCCTCACCCCTGTCTGAGGGGTTTCTGATCACCTGGCTTAATGCTTGCACCTTTTCAGGCACTGTTGTACATGCAAGTACTTCTGTTCCTGGTTCAGCTGTATGCTGGTATAGTTAAACAAGTGGAAGGTGCTGAAATTCAAGAGTTTGAGCCAAGTTGTAGTTTTAGCAGGGGTCGTTAATTACAATGAAGTAGTCTTTTACACTCTGTATTGATCAAGGAGGTGCATCAGCTTAACGCACAAATGGGTTCATCACACTGACACTACAGTATTAGTGAACATTCTGACTCATAGAATAGTTTGGGTTAGAAGGGACCTTTAAAGGTCACCTAGTCCAACACCCCTGGAATGTGTAGGGCCATCTTCAACTAGATCAGGCTGCTCAGAGCCCTGTCCAACTTGACCTTGAATGTTTCCAGGGATGGGGCATCTGCCCCCTCTCTGGGCATCGTAGGCCAGTGTTTCACCAGCCTCATTGTGAAAAAAACCTTCCTTATATTTAGTCTGAGTGAATGCATTAGGTGAATATTTTGATTACAAATGTTTTGGGGTTTTATTATTTTCATTTTGAAATCTACTATGGCAAGATAGGCTAAGTGAATATGCTATGTGTTTACTTTCCAGGTAGTTTAAGCTAATGATTCTCAATGGTGGTGCAGATCCTTGCACAGGGCATTTAATCCCTTTACAACTATCATGGTTTTCTGCAAGTTTAATATTGTAAGCTTTTAATGCTGGACAAGTTTAAAAGCTTAAAAGGAATTTTTTTTTTTGTATGGACAGCTGGGCTGCACGTTATTATCAGCCAGTTTGGACAGCAATTCACATGAAATCTGTCTCGTTTGTGTTTGTTTTTTTTAAAACCAAAAGTTATTACACAGAAAGGTATTCAGAACGTACCAAACCTTTTAGGGACTAAAAGCAATCTATTTTTGTTCGAATAGCACCACTTTGTGGTCAGTTCTGGTAAGTGATGCTTTCCTACACTTAGCTGTGTTAGGAGCAATGTTGAAATTGTTTAATTGCAATAGGGAAGAAACTTTGTTCATCTTGGCCGAATGTCAAAAGCCAAACACATTTTAGAAGTATCAGATTTGATTTGAAATCTGATGTGTTTTCAGAAAAAAAAAGAGACTTAATTAGTTTCCTGTGTTGCTAGTAATTTCTCCTTAACAGTCCCAGAACTGGACACAGTACTCCAGATGGGGTGTCACCAGGACAGAATACAAGGGAAGGATAACTTCCCTTGACGTGCTGGCCACACTCTTCTTGATGCACCCCGGATGCCATTGGCCTTCTTGGCCACAAGGGCACATTGCTGGCTCATGGTCGTCCTATTGTCCACCAGGACTCAGTGGTCTTTTTCCTCAGAGCTGCTCTCCAGCAGGTCAGCCCCCAACCTGTACTGGTGCACGGGGTTATTCCTGCCCAGGTGCAGGATACTACACTTGCCCTTGTTGAATTTGATCAGGTTCCTCTCTGCCCAACTCTCCAGCCTGTCCAGGTCTCGCTGTATGGTGGTACACCCTTCTGGTTTGTCAGCCACCCCTCCCAGTTTTGTATCATCAGCAAACTTGCTGGGGGTACACTCCATCCCTTCCCCCAGGTCATTGATGAAAATATTGAAGAGGACTGGACCCAGTACTGACCCCTGGGGAACACCACTTGTTACAGACCTCTAACTAGATTCTATGCCCCTAACCACAACGCTTTGAACTCTGTCTTTCAGCCAGTTTTCAATCCACCTCACTGTCCGTTCATCTAACCCGTACTTCCTAAGCTTAGCTATGAGGATGCTGTGGGAGGCTGTGTCACATGTCTTGCTGTGTGTGTAGGTAATACAGAGTCCACACTAAACTTCCATTGTTTTGTAGCCTTATGTACCATCTGTACTTAGTTACTTATAGACACTGATGCAAATATTACATAGAAAGAGGTCCTTGTACTCAAAATGTAATTGTGTACAGAAATATCTCCATGCATTGCTTAGTAGGATTGTGCTGTGGTTGTCCATGTCACCTGAAAGGCTTCTATTTCTGATTGCCTAGTATTCCATTAAAACAAACAAAAAGAGGTCTTTATAAATGCGTTTGTAAATTGAACATCTTTCCTGCAGGAAAGGCTATTCAACTCACCTCAGTTTCCTTTTGAGCAGATAAAAATCTATGTTTACTCCTAACAGCTGTTTGCATTATTAAACGGTGTGAAGAAAAGCTGCACTTGTGAAAGAATTGGTCTACGTTTTGTGTGTTAACTTATGCCAGCATATAAATTGAATAGATTTAAAGGTATACATGATTTATTTGAAGCATTAGTATTTCTTTTTTTTCTTTAAGTCATTGTTAAATAAAATTATAGTCAGTGTAATTCCAGAGATACCTCTCCTACTGTTCTAGAGTTACAGCTCGTTTCCCCCCCTTTTTTTTTTTTTTTTTAAATGAGAGAGAACTAGATGGTTGAGAAGACCCAGAATACCATATAAAGCTGTTGAAGCCATTAGTTTACATAAAACGTTGGGCTGGTTAGGCTTTTAATTGCCTCAAGACTGTCAGTAATGTGTGAGATAGATAGAGCATGTTTTAAATACTATAATGTATAAACACATTGGAATGTGTCAGTAGCACAAAATATCATCAATTAGTCAAATCTGGCAAAAAGGGAAGAGTCTGAATTGATGTGAACATAAATTAAGTCCAAGAAAGAGGTATGCCAGCTTTATTTAGAGGAAGTAGGAGAGCATTAAGTTTTTCTGTGAGCTCTTCTATTCATATACCACTGTAAGAGTATTCTACTCATACCCCTGGAACAGGTTGCCCAAGGAATTTGTGGATGCTCCATCCCTGGAGGTGTCCAAGGCCAGGCTGGACGGGGCCTTGAGCAACCTCGTCTAGTGGGAGGTGTCCCTGCCCATGGCAGGGGGATTGGAACTAGATGATCTTTAAGGTTCCTTCCAACTCTAACCATTCTATGATTCTATATACCTTCTTATTTCATGGTGGAAAACATGGTTTTTCCTTTTATCTGCTCTTTGACAAGTTATGAAATTCTACTCATGCTGAAAAAAAAACCTAAACCAATGTTTAAACATACGCAGGTTGGATGAGAATATTTTTAATACCTGCCT